GGTAAGAACGGAAGACATTTGAACAGGCAGATTTGTAAAACTCATTTTGGAGACATTTATCAACACATCAAGCAGGCCACAAGAATGAGGGAAGGGAATGTTCCATCAGTACTGGATCTAATATTCACCAGGAAAGAAGAAGAGGTATTTGACATCCAGTACATTCCACCCTTGAAAAAAAGAGTGATCATGTTCTACTCCACATTAAACACGCTTTGCGATATAATCTAGTAGAGAATGGGGACACAAACAGTTGTTAAACTCGATTTTAAGAGAGGACGCTATGGGGAACTTAGAAATTCTTTTCATGGGTATAATTGGACAGATTTGTTGCTAGGCAAGGAAGAAAATGAGATGTATGCCAAATTTTGCGAAATATACGATGAAGGCACCCAAACATTCATACCAAAACAGAGATGCAGACTTAGGAAACAGGGTTGTTTCAACAAATTGCAAGAGGGGCCAGAGATCAAAAGACACAAGCGTGGAATCGTTATAGGAAGAGGCCAAATCCCAAAACATACCAGCGATACAAAGATGCGAGAAACAACTACACGTCAGTAAGGAGAAAGGTAGAGGGGAACTTTGAAAACGGTATAGCAGACAAATGTAAATAAGATCCAGGCCTTTTCTATAAAGTCATTAAAAGCAAGCTGCAGGTAAAGGATAATATTCAGAGGTTGAAAATGGGGAACAGATACACGTTAAATGAAAAGGAAATGTGTGAAACATTAAACGAAAAATTCCAAAGTGTTTTTGTATAAAATGAGATTTCAACAGAGAACAGAGGTGTCTAGAGACAAAGTGAAAAAAAGGCTCTTTAAGCTAAGTAAGAACAAAGCAGTTGGCTCAGATGGAGTTTCACCATGAATTCTGAGAGAATGTGCACCTGAGCTCAGCATTCCACTTCAACTGATTTTTTAGTCTGAGTTAGTTTAGTTTAGTTCTTTAGATCTGGGACATACAAATGTTACGCCCCAGTAGGGCCGTAACATTTGCTATTCTCCGATTGATAAAGATTAAGCCACCCAAGAGGTAGCACGGGCATGAATAGCCCGTAAGTTGCTATTCTCAAATTGCTGGCTTATATATGGTGACTACACCTCACAGTAAGATTGGCGGGTGGAAAAACCGTTACCTGTAAATAGGAATAGGATTATAGCTTGTGTAATTAGTTATGCCATTAAGATGATGAGATAATGGAGCGAGTACAAGTTTACTTGCTACATCTCTCATTATTGTTATAAGACCTTCTCATTTACTATTTAGCTCCTCCTTTGACCATGTGCTGCTTGACGGTGGACTATATGCATTTATGATCATTAGTTCAGCATCCTCATGGCAGATCTCTAGTGCTATTATATCAACTAATTGTGGATTGGCAGTCATTATTTCTTTCACCAGCACAGCAACGCCAACGCCTTTCCTAATTTTTCTGTCCCGTCTCCAAATTGAGTAGCCCCTTGGGAATATGACCTCATTTAAAATAACATTTTCAAGTTTTGTCTCAGTGAGTGCAGCAATGTCTGGTGTTTGCAGCTGTATTACATCACTTAACTCCAGTATCTTCGATCTCACTCCATCTATGTTGGTGTATGCAATCTTCAGGAACTTGTTCCCCCTCTCCTTATTCTTCACTCCCCCTCTCTATTGATTTTGTTGGTTTGCCTTCATGTACCACTTTACTGGTCTGCCTACTCCTATCACTTTGTAGAAAAAAATCACTGTGTGTGTGTGTGTGTGTGTGTGTACTCACCTAGTTGTGCTTGCGGGGGTTGAGCTCTGGCTCTTTGGTTCCGCCTCTCAACTGTCAATCAACAGGTGTACAGGTTCCTGAGCCTATTGGGCTCTATCATATCTACACTTGAAACTGTGCATGGAGTCAGCCTCCACCACATTACTTCCTAATGCATTCCATTTGTCAACCACTCTGACACTAGAAAAGTTCTTTCTAATATCTCTGTGGCTCATTTGGGCACTCAGTTTCCACCTGTGTCCCCTTGTGCGTGTGCCCCTTGTGTTAAATAGCCTGTCTTTATCAACCCTGTCGATTCCCTTGAGAATCTTGAATGTGGTGATCATGTCCCCCCCTAACTCTTCTGTCTTCCAACGAAGTGAGGTTTAATTCCCGTAGTCTCTCCTCGTAGCTCATACCTCTCAGTTCGGGTACTAGTCTGGTGGCAAACCTTTGAACCTTTTCCAGTTTAGTCTTATGCTTGACTAGATATGGACTCCATGCTGGAGCCGCATACTCCAGGATTGGTCTGACATATGTGGTATATAATGTTCTGAAAGATTCCTTACACAAGTTTCTAAAGGCCGTTCTTATGTATGTGTGTGCGTGTGTGTGTGCGTGTGTGTGTGTGTGTGTGTGTGGGGGGGGGGGGGGGGGAGGGGAGGGGAAAATTTTTTAGTAAGTAGTTAATAACAGTTAATTGATTGACAGTTGAGAGGCGGTCCGAAAGAGCAGAGCTCAAGCCCCGCAAGCACAACTAGGTGAATACAACTGGGTGAATATACACAGAGAACACTATGCAGCAAAATCAAAAACTCTGCCCCAAACTTTTAGTTTAGTTCATTAATTATGCACCCCATGCCCATCTTGTGGGCGGTAGTAGAAAGGGTTACAAAGACACATAATGGGCTCAGCCCCCAACTAAAACGCAAAAAAGTCATCCAATGCCCTCCGGCAGAGCAGAAGCCACCCGCCCACCACGTCTGAATAATAAATAAATGTTTATTTAGGTAAGGTACATACATACAAGAGATTTTACAAAGAGTGACGGATTTGTAGATAGGGCTAGTACATACAATGCCTAAAGCCACTATTACACAAAGCGTTTCGGGCATGAAAAACTTAAATGACTAAAGCTTAATACTAATCGAGTATAAAGAATAAAATGTGTTGAGAACAGATAAAAATAGAGATAAAAAAAGGGGGGGGGAACATGGCTGAAAAAGCAGCACAAATACAATTAGGTCGACAAACAGCGTTGTTTAAAAAAAACAGACATGTGTTGACAATAGAGGGGTAAGGTAAGTTGCAGGGAATTTATTAGGTAGAGCTTCGTTTTTATCGTTTCGTTTTAATAAATCTCAAAATAAACAATACCCAAATTTGTAACAAATTAGATGGCAAATTCCTAGGCATTCTCATTGACCACAAGCTGAATTTCCAGGGACACATTCTAAATATATTAAAGTTTCAAAAACTGTTGGCATTCTTTCTAAGATCAGATATTATGTACCCCGCCCTGCCCTGGTGACTATTACTCCCTCATCTATCCATATCTCAACTATGGTATTTGTGCTTGGGGTTCTACTACCCAAAATCATTTACGTCCTCTAATTACTCAACACAAAGCTGCTATTAGGACAATATCCAACTCTGGCCCCAGACATCACTCGGTACCCCTACTCAAATCTCTGAATATGTTAGACATTAAGTCACTGCACATTCTTTCATGTGTATTATACATATATAAAACGCTGAACTGTAATGCCAATCCTGACCTCAAAAGCTTCATATAAGGTTGTAACAGAACCCATGAGCACCACACCAGAAATAGTTTTGATATTCCTAGAGTACGACTTAATCAAACTAGAAATGCTCTACAAATCAAGGGACCCAGATTGTGGAATGACCTTCCCAACCATGTTAAAGACTGTACCTCTCTCAACCAGTTTAAGATAAAAACGAAGCTATACCTAATAAATTCCCTGTAACCTACCTTACCCCTCTATTGTCAACCAATGTCTGTTTTTTTTTAAAGAGCGCTGTTTGTCGACAGAATTGTATTTGTACTGCTTTTTCAGCTATGTTTTCATTCCATGTTTTCATTTTATTCTTTATGCTCAATTAGTATTAAGCTTTAATCATTTAAGTTTTTCATGCCCGAAACGCTTTGCGTAATAGTGGCTTTAGGCATTGTATGTACTAGCCCTATCTATAAATCCATCACTCTTTGTAAAATCTATTGTATGTATGTACCTTACCTAAATAAACATTTGATTTGATTTGATTTGATTTATCTTAAACTGGTTGAGAGAGGTACAGTCCTTAACATGGTTGGGAAGGTCATTCCACATTCTGGGTCCCTTGATTTGTAGAGCATTTCTAGTTTGATTAAGTCGTACTCTAGGAATATCAAAACTATTTATTTCTGGTGTGGTGCTCATGAAGGCACAAGAGCCCACCAATGGGCTTAGTTCTGGTCTAGTCCCAGAACTAAGAGGCACGAGTTACGAGGAAAGGCTGTGTGAAATGCACCTCACTACACTGGAAGACAGAAGAGTAAGAGGAAACATGATCACTACCTACAAAATTCTCAGAGGAATTGACAGGGTAGAGATAAACTGATTAACTACGGGCTTACTACTAGGCCCGTGCTACTTGGAACTTTGTTCCAGGTAGCGAATCTTTAACAACAACTGATTAACACGGGTGGTACGCGAACAAGGGGGGACAGGTGGAAACTGAGTACCCAAATGAGCCACAGGGACGTTAGGAAGAACTTTTTCAGTGTCAGAATAGTTAACAGATGGAATGCATTAGGCAGTGATGTGGTGGAGGCTGACTCCATACACAGTTTCAAATGAAGATATGAGAGAGCTAGCCCAGTAGGTTCAGGAATCTGTACATCAGTTGATCAGTTGAGTGGCGGGACCAAAGAGCCAGAGCTCAACCCCCGCAAGCACAACTAGGTGAGTACCAACTCCCGGCCAAGCCAGTGCCGGACACTATCACCCCACCGGGAGAACCAGCCAGAAAACGTTCAAAATCTATCAAGAACCCTAGGCGATATGTGCGCTAGGCGTCGTAACACTCCGGACCGTTGAATAACAATGACATACGGCAGTATCAACTCCAAAATCGCGAAACAAAGTGATCTGTCGGCCCCCCAAGCGGAGGTGTCCAGACGTCCGCTCGTCGTCAAGGTTGAACCTACGGTGGTGGCTTCACTTCACTGCTCAATGTTTGGTGAGGGTTACCGTGTATGGTAAGGTGATGTGAGGCCGCAGGCGGTGCCGGGGCCGATCACCCGAACACCTACCACTCTTAATACACTTATCTTCGCTTCCTCTTTACTCCTGTTTATGGATAAGATTTATTAATACAGTTATTATTTACGCGTTTTCGTTGTTGTACTATACATTAGGGTTTATGAGGGCGGGAATGATAGCTTGGAGGTGTCTCAGGTCAGTGTCCGAACACCACTCTGGCTGATGCTGCTCCTGACACCACTGTCATCTTTGCCCTCGCACTCGCCCAGGCGTCCTTGCCTTGGTAACCAACATCATCTCCAAAGTGTGTGTAGGATAACCCTCGCCCTACTACTATCACCCCGGCACCTGTTCCCCAGTACCCAGGTTTACCCGAGTTTACCTAGGTACCAAGTATCAGTATCGCGATGCCCTCACTTCAACACCCTGCTACCTAAAGACTTCTAGACCCTCAAAGCTTTCAACATGACATCATAATTTGTTAACCTGTTATAGTGAATAGAGGAGTGATAAGTGTAGGCCTAGTATTATGCAAGACTCCGGTACCCCATATCAGGTGAAGCCACCGGTACTCAACCCGGGTACCCCGTATCTGGTGAATCCATCAGTGTTAACTCCCAGTACACGATATGTGGTGAATTCACGGGTCAGCCCCACTTCACGCTATCTGGTGAATCCTACGGTATTCACTCCTAGTACGCGATACTTGGTGAATCCTACAGTATTCACCCCTAGTACCCGATACTTGGTAAATCCGTCGGTCGACCCCAGTACCCGATACTTGGTAAATCCGACGGTCGACCTCAGTAACCGATACTTGGTAAATCCGACGGTCGACCCCAGTAACCGATACTTGGTAAATCCATCAGTCGACACCGGTACTCCATTCCTGATAACGCCATCAACACAGTAACTTCTTACTTGAAAAATATTGAGGGCTTGAAGCCCTCTCGCTTAGTCTAGGCCTACAAGCCTACGGCTCTCACAATAGCAACTGTGCTTGTGTGAAGAACTACAAGAATGGCCAATTATCCTTACCACATCAAGATTTTCTTTTAACTACAGAGGTTAATGACGTGAGTAAGAATGCAGATTTTTTTTTTTAACATTAATGACATTTTGTAGTGTTAATGACAGGCTCTATAACAGTAATGATGGGTTTTTAAACATTAAAAGACAGGTTTTGCAATGTTAATGACAGGGTTTTGCAATGTTAATGACAGGGTTTTGCAATGTTAATGACAGGGTTTTGCAATGTTAATGACAGGGTTTTGCAATGTTAATGACAGGTTTTATAATGTTAATGACAGGTTTTTAACATTATAATACAGATTTTCTATTGTCAACTGCAGGTTTTGTAACGTTAACGTTGCGAGCCTGAAAACCCTCCTGCTGCTAGTTTCCTCAACTGTATGAATTCCTGCTTCCTCATACCCTTAATCACTAGACCTACTAGAATCACTGATAGTACTGCCTCTGCTCTTGACCACATCTGTACTAACATAATCTCTCCACTTCAAGGATAATCATTGATAGGACCACAGACCATTACCCCTCATTTCTCTTAACCAAAATTAATAAACCACCTCTAGATATAAGGAAGATAAGCTTTAGGCTGCACAATGAAACTTCTATAAGCAACTTTATTGATGCTGCTGCCAATATCAACTGGGAGGCTGAATAAGGTGACAGTGAACATCAACCTAGCAGTGCAAACATTTCTTCAGAAAACTCTGAACCTTTATAACTCCCACTGTCCAATGCTAACGAAACAAGTTACAAATAAAAGGTTAAACACTCCATGGCTTACAAAGGGTATACTTAAATTTATTAATAAAAAACATGACCTTGTAAAGAAGTATAGATTAGGAGTCGTCTCCAAAGAATTTTCAAAGATTTACTCATCCATGCTGTCTAAAATAATTAGAAGAGCCAAAATAAAATGCTATGAAAAGAAATTTACCCAAATTAAGGGCAACATTAAGAAAACATGGAGCACTATCTCCCAAATATTAGGTTCAAAAAATATTTTGAGTCAAAAAACAATTCTCCTATCCAATGACGATGGTGTGCTTTCGGCCTCGGACACTGCTATTGAATTCAATAGGTTCTTTTCATCCATCCCTTACATCCATTGCTCATGATATTCCATCCTCACTCACTAATATTAAAGACTACCTTACAAGTAACTATCCAGTCTCTCTGTATCTAGCTTCTGCTACTTCCTCTGATGTTAATGAGGTAATCCTTTCCCTTAAAACTAAGTCAAGTGCCCTTGATGAGATACCATCTCTAATTTACAAAAATGTATCCAGATTTCTAGCTCCTGCCATTGCATCGCTCTTCAACAAATCACTTTAACTCCAAACCTTTCCAGATATTCTAAAAAAAGTGAGAGTAACCCCAGTCCACAAATGTGCTGATCTCGCTGATGTCAACAATTACAGACCTATCATAATTCTGCCAACCTTGTCTAAAATATTTGAAAAGCTAATCTACAAGCAGCTTTACGCATATCTAGCCAAACTCAATATACTTATCTCTTGCCAATATGGTTTCAGACCCAATAAAAGCACTAATGATGCACTTATTAGTATGATTAACTTAATACATACAGCTCTTGATAAAAATGAGTTCCTGTTGGGTTATTTGTGAACCTACGTAAGGCTTTTGATACTGTCAACCACCAAAACCTTCGTCTTAAATTACATCATTATGGAGTCAGAGGTCATTCCCTGCAATACCTTCAGTCTTATCTTACTGACAGGCTCCAGTATGTCTGTGAATAATTCCATTTCTCCTACACTACCCGTAAACATTGGTGTTCCACAGGGCAGCATACTTGGCCCTCTCCTCTTTCTTATCTACATTAATGACCTTCCAAATGGCTCTCAACACCTCAAACCAATCTTATTTGCTGATGACAACTTTCATTTTCTCCAGTCCTGACCTGCTTGCTCTAAATGTCACTGTGAATACTGAACTAAATAAAGTCCATCTTTAGCTAACTGCTAACAAACTCGCCCTTAACATTGACAAAACTTTCTATATTTTGTTTGGTAATAAATCCTCAAATGAAATTAGTCTAAGAATAAACAATATACAAATCAGTAGTAAAGTTGATGGCAAATTCCTTGGTGTCTTCATCGATAACAAGCAGAATTTCCAGGGACACATTCTAAATATAGCAAAAAAAGTTTCTAAAACTGTTGGCATTCTTTCCAAGATCAGATATTATATTTCTCGCCCTGCCCTGGTGATGCTCTTATTACCCTCTTATCTATCCTTATCTTTACTATGGTATTTGTGCTTGGGGTTCTACTACCCAAAATCATTTACGTCCTCTAATTACCCAACACAAAGCTTCTATTAGAACAATATCTAACTCTGGCCCTAGACAGCACTCGGTACCCTTACTCAAATCTCTGAATGTTAGATATTAAGTCACTGCACATCCTCTCTTGTGTACTCTATATATTTAAAGCTCTGAATTGTAATGTCAATCCTGAACTTTAAAGCATTTTAGAAGGTTGTAACAGAACCCATGGACACCACACCAGAAACAAATACCTATTTGATATTCCAAGAGTATGACTTAAACTAGAAATGCTCTACAAATCAAGGGACCCAGAATGTGGAATGACCTTCTCAATCATGTCAAAGGCTGTACATCTCTCAACCAGTTTTAAGATGAAAACTAAGTACTACCTAATTAACTCCATGTAACCTACCTTGTAATGTAACTCGCCTTTCGACAAACTAACACACTTCGTAGCAATCTAGTTCACACTACTACTCCTGCTTCTAATGCTGCTGGTGTCTACTCTATTTCCTGTTCATCTTGTCCTCTCCAATACTTTGGCAAAACTGGCCGTACACTGAATGACAGACTTAAGAACACAAGAGAAGTGTTAAGTCTGCAGACACTAACAATGCTCTCTTCTGCCATGTGAGGGATTCTAATCATCCCATTGATTGGTCTTCCTCCAAAATAATCTTTCCTGCCTCTACTCTACACAGACGCCGTCTTGTAGAATCGGCTCTGATACACAATGTATCCAACATGAACTTGAGTCCTGGCTTTGTTGCTGTGGACTCTTCCCTTTTACAGTATATACTCAAATGCTCTAATCTTTCTAACAAACATGACTTAACATAAGCTTACCCCTTCCATTTATCTTTCTTTCTCTTTCCTTTTCTTTCTCTCTTCTCCCCTTTTTCTGTTCATTGTCTTCTCCTACACTCCCTTGCTATCCTCCTCTTATTCCTATTACTATCTCCTTCTCATTCGGTGGTTATAATAGGAGCTGCCACGTATGGGCCAATAGGCCCTCTGCAGTTCTCATTATTACTACTATCCCCTACACCTTACTTTCCTCCTCAGCTCTCTCTTGCCTATTTATTGCCTGTCTCTACCTCCTCTTCACAATCTACTTGAGAATGGTCCAGGACGGACCGAAACGTCGTCATCCCTTCAACTTCTAGTGTGTGGTCTAGTCAACATAACCTACCTTACCCCTAAATGTCAACCCATGTCTTACTATTTTTAAACAATGCTGTTTGTTGACCAACTTGTATATTGACTATTTTCTACCATGTTCCCCCCTTTTTTATCTTATTTTTGTTTTCAACGCATTTTATACTTTAAGCTCAGTTACTATTAAGTTTTAGTCTAAGTGTTCCCTCCCCCAACCTCACCTTGCCCGAAATACCATGCATACTAGTGGCTTTAGGTATTGTATGTACTAGCTCTATCTATAAATCCAACATTATGTTTGTAAATGAACTATGTATACTTTCCTGAATAAAATTTACTTTATGTTAATGACAGGTTTTGTGATGTTAATATCAGGTTTGTAATGTTATTGTCAGGAGAAAGAGAAACATGCAAACTGGAATGAGAACAGCATTCTCTCTATAGGCGGCGAAAAGAAATTGTAGAACATCTCAAACATCCAACTCTATCCCAAGAATGACAAAGAAGGCTATGTAGAGAAATAGAAGCGATTGAGCTCATGTTACAAGAATCAAAATCCAGGAGAGGCAAAAGGGAGCAATAGGCCATAAGGTAAATAGAAAGGAATCCAAAATAGGGTTTCTCTTATTCAGAATCTAGAACAAAAAACTACATCCTGCATTGGGTCCTTGTGCAAGAGTAATGGAACCTTGACAGATGACAGCAAAGAAGTGAGGGAAATACTGAGGCTACAGTACGATTCTGTTTTCAGTGAACCCTCTGAACACATTGAAGATCAGTGATTCAAACAAATTCTTTATGAATGACACCACCATCAAACCATATATCAAAAGTTACCCTAACTCCACTCAGTTTTGAATCAGCCATAGGCAGCATGCACTCTGTCCATCTAATTACCCAAATCTACTCAAAGCTACCCAAAGCTTCCTAGTATTACGTAAGTAATGAAGAAATATATATTTACTCATTATAACGTTGGTGCTGAAGGTAGAACACGAAAAAACATTTTTACTCTGAAACAATATAAGTTTATAACGAAATTATGCGAAACTAAGTTTCATGAGAGGCCATAGGAAGTCGACGATCCAAACAACAATGTTGTGGAGCAACTTATCGAAGATATGTGGTTGCCTACAGGTTATATTTAGTTAGGTGTAGTTAGATTAGGTTTGGTTTGGTTAGGTTAAGTTAGGTTTAGTTAGATTAGGGTAGGGTTTTGTTGGGTTAGGGTTTTGTTTATTTATTTATATACAAGAAGGTACATTGGGTTTGTGAGAATACATAGAGAATATTGTAAGCCACTAGTACCCTCAGTGTTTCGGGCAGGTCCTTAATCTAACAGATAATTTTAAGTAGGTAAATTCTAGCAGAATTAATAAAATAACAGATACATTGCAAGAAAAAAATGAGATGAAAGAGATTAGTAAGTATATTAAAGCACATTGGTATATTAAAACTCCGATTGATTATATTGATAGGTTGATTGGTAATTTAAACAAGATTAATAGACACCATACAGCAAATTGACAGCACATATAAGAAGACAGCAATGATAAAGATGTTCAGATTGGGTACATAAAGATTGGGATATTGGGTAGC